TACAGCAGAGAATATAGAAAGAGTTGAGAGAATAAGGAATGGGATGAGCCAGGAAGCCCTCGTACGTTGACATCATGGGTAGAGAAGCCAGTAAAGGGGACATGGGAGAAAACAGCCAGTGAGTTAGAGAAAATAGGAGAAGGGAGTATTGTGAAGATGAGAGGAAAGTGCTTTTGGGAGCAGGAGTTGGTCAACAGTGAATATTTTTTCTAAAAGATGAAGAAATTTACTAAGATGAAGACAATGTTATCGGTAGCATGTAGGCCACCAGTTTCTGTTGCTACATAGGGATGGAAGTCAAGTTAGAGCAGGCTGAACTGGAGTGAGGGGGTAGAGGTAGAAAACATAGGTAATTCCAGCTGGTAGTTTTGTTTTGCTTTGTTTTTTTGAGACAGGGTCTCCCTCTGTCGCCCAGGCTGGAGTGCAGTGGCATGGTCATAGCTCAATGGAACCTGGAACTTCTATGCTCCAGCAATGCTTCTGTCTTAGCTTCCTGAGTCACTGGGACTTCAGGTGCATGCCACCATGCCTGGCTAATTTTTCTTATTTTTTGTAGAGAAGGAGTCTTGCTATGTTTCCCAGGCTGGTCTTGAGCTCCTGGCCTCAAGCAATCCTCTTGCCTCAGCCTCTAGAGTTGCTAGGATTGCAGGTGTGAGCCACTGTACCTGGCCCCAGGTAGTAATCTTGATGTGAAGGAAAGCCATGAAATAGGACAGTAGCTGGGAGTGATATAGGCTCAAGGAAGGGTTTGTTTTTTTTTAAAGCACGTTTGTGTTATCCTAGGAATGTCCAGTGAAGAGGGAGATGTTCATATCTGGAGAGAAGGGATAGCTAAAGAAGTGAGATCCTGAGTCTGAGCATGCAACAAAGAATTCAATCCAAACACAAGGGAAAGAACTTGTTCCTGTTTGTAACAGGGCCTTTCCACTGTGAGGAAAAACGACAGAGAAGACCAGTGCAGGCATTTTGCATATTTTGGGTTGGTCTCAGATTCTTCCATTTTCTCAACAAATCATTTGAGAAGATCATGTCATCATTGGAAAGAGCAGATCAGGTGGGAAGGAGATTGTATAAAAATCATCTTGGAGAGTGGAAGCTCAGATGAGAATGCAGAACAGTGCTAGGCTTCACTGAGGTGGACAGCTGTGAGCGTAAAGTGAAAACAGGCAACACGTGTGTGTCTTTCTTTTGCAACATGCAGCTGCTCAGGTGCAGGCAAAGTGGCCAGATGGAGACAAGTTGTGGTTTTATCACACAAGCGTGTTGGAGGGAGAGAGGGATTAGGGGACTGAAGTATCTAATTATGGTGATGGGACATGGTATTTAAGCTGGTAAGGAAGGAAATGAGATGGGGTATGGGTGATGGATCATGCAGCAGTGGTAAGGACGACTGATTCAAGGTAGGTGTGGTGGATGGAGCTTTTGAAGGATTCCAGAGTGAGGGCTTAAAGGATAGAAGGCGGTGGTCAAGAATTAGGTGTTCCACTCGGGCATTTGTACGTAGACTGATTCAGTGGTGATCAAAAAATTAATTGACCATCCACCCCTTTCCAGGCACTCCTGGAGGTCCTGGGTAAAAGGTGGTAAACATCAGGGGCTGCAGAAATGGAGTTTACATTCCAGGAATAGGATACAGACCACAGACTTGCGTAAATTCAAGGGCTAAGCTCTCTGAAGAGGAAGGTGGATAATGGGAGCGAGAGAGACCAGGTGTGCTATTTTAGAAAGGGCGGTCAGGAAGTTCTCTCGGCGGAAGTGATGGGCGGGCAGGGACCTGAGTGAGATGAAGGAGTGAGGGAGTCATGGAGATATCTGAGGGAGAGTGTTCTGCTGTAAAAGGCTCTGAGGTGAGAGTGACTCAGTGTGTTTGAGGAGGAGAAGTCCGGTGGGCAAGAGCAAGAGTAGAGCGAGGGAGAGTGGTGGGAGGTGAGAGGTGGGGGCTCCTGTGTGAGGTGAGGAGTTCGATTTTACTCCGAGGGTGATGGGAAGCCACTGGAGGGTTTGGAGTAAGCTTTGAAATCGATCTTCTGGAGGTGGTACAGTTGCTGATAGTGACCGATCCGAGGATGTGACGTGGGGCGGACGAAATGCTGGCTGGAGGCAAGGACTCAGGGTCTGGGATGCGGCATCTACCTGAGTGTTGGTTCGCTCTCCACATGGATGTCAAAGTCACCGAGAGAGACGATAGGCATAGAGGTGGACTATTTAGTGAATGGCGGGGTGAAGGAATGACTAGAGGTTAGTGGGTGGCAGAAAGGTGGGGGATAGGTAGGGGTCTAGCCGGTGGCAAGAGTTTTCAAAGGAGCCGATGGCTTTGCAGGAGAATAAATCATTTGTGTTTGTGAGGATCTAGGAAGTTACCTACTTCCTGTCCCTCAAATATGTGGAATTTGACATAAAATGCCTCCCTCTGAAAGGATCGCAGGAGGAGGAGATCCTCTGGGGGCAGTCAGGTTACCGTTAATGCAAGGAGGTGAAGTTCCCTTTAGAGATGTCAGGACGGGAGTTCTCAACAGCCTGGGGTTGTCTTGCCCCCCAGGGGACATTTGGCAATGTCTGGAGACATTTTCATCTATTACAGCTGCAAGTGGGATGGTTGTGCTACTGGCCTCTAGTGGTGGTGGCCAGGGATGCTGCTAAATGCACAGGATAAGCCCCACCTCCCAAACACAGAAATATGTGGTTCAAGGTCAACAGTGTTGTGGTAGAGAAACCCTGGATTAAGGATTTAGGGGTATTTGTTCATCATAGAACTGGAGTTCCAGCGGGTCATACTCTCTCTTCCACATTGTTCTGGAACCTCTTTGATGTTTTTTGGCTTGATTTGCACTTACACATATACACTATCACACTCCCTCACACACAAGCAAGATCCTGTTTCCCTTATTTTCTGTCCTCCACAATATCTGAGTGGTGGGAAAGAACTAATGAGTTTTAGGACTATTTCCAGTCATCCCATAAGATGAATACAATGGATATACCGTTATGATAATTACTCACTTGAGAATTGAGGAATGCCATTTGTTTCCTAGGTTCCAGTTAGATGCCAGCAAACTGAATTTCTTTAGGGGAAAAAATCCTTTATTTTCCCCCAAATAATTCCTGGGAGACCAAAGAATATCCTCTAATGACTTGAAAGAATAAAGAAAATAGAGAGGCTTTTTTTGTCCTGCTTTGTCACTCCAAATATCAAGGGCAGATTTTCAAGATTAGTTTTGTTTTACAGACAGAAACAGAAAGAGACATATATTAATACATTGCATGACTAGTGTCCTGATACAAGTGAATGTTTATATGTTTAAAATTTAGTGGCTGTAACTGAAGTATAGACCTGGCCTGGTTTTGCACAGCCCTGAGCTAAGAAGGGTTTATAAATTTTCAAAGTTATTCAAAACAAAACCAAACCAGTGAAAAATATGCAATGGAGACCTTATATGGCCCACAAAGCCTAAGATATTTACTATTTGGCTCTTTACAGAAATAGTTTGATGGTATAGACTGTATTTCATTTCCAGTTCTGACTGTGATATGAATGAATCTGTCACAGAATCATATCTTTGTCTTCAGGCAGAAATCCTAAAAACATTTCTGGATGCTTTTTATGTGCAAGTGGTCAGTTTTGCAAGATAGATGGTGGCCATCAGTGAGTTTATGTTTTAGTGAGGGAAGGAGACATTAAGCAAATGATTACACAAGTAATTAATTAATTAATCAAAATAATTAATTACACAAAGGAGCTATGAAGGATTCCAAAAGAGGGTGGAGGGGAATCACTAAAGGCTTTTCTGGATGAGTGATGTTGATCTAGATTTGAAGACGGAATCCACTAATTAGACGGAGGAGCAGTGACGGGGCAAGAACTGAGGAACGCTTGTGGCCCCAGAAGGAACCCTAGAGATTTCCTATTTCTTCTGCCATAGCTTATGAATATGGAAACAAGCTCCATAAATTTCGAAGGTTAGAGACGAAGTAGTGTCAGAAATAGGTTAGGGACTGTACCCATGGCTGTGACCTCTGGCTAACAGTAGAACCAACTGGTGACCAATAAAATACCAACACTTGGGCCCTGCCACCAGCAATTCTGTTCTGCCGGGTGATGGTCAGGCACAGCCAAGACCAAGAACTGCTGGACTATGTAGACCCAGGTCCTCTCGGGGCCTCAGCTAGGGTCTTCTCATTGTGCCTCTCTTTCAGGAAAATAATTAAAAACTCACGTATGGATCTACCCTAGAGTTATATTTCCGAGGAGCCTCTGAGAAAAATTTGAGTTTCTCTATCACTTTTCTTTTTAGGGCGACTATTTTTGCTGGACAGCTGTGTTCACTTCTCACGGGTTGGTGCCTTTGCCAGTCTCCCTGTCTCCTCATTTTCTGTCCCCTCCCCATTGCCATGCCAGAGACTGTGAATGTCAGTCACTGACATTTCTGAGCCTCAACGGTGGCATGTTGGGTTACTAACTGTTTCTTTAGAAAATCATCTGTAATTAAATCCAAAAAGGTTTAACCTTTTTCATCCAAAGTTAAATCCAAAAGGGAGCTGGGCACAGTGACACACACCTCTAGTTCCAGCTGCTCCGGAGCCTGAGGCAGGAGGATCACATGAGCCCAGGAGTTTGAGGCCAGCCTGGGCAGCATAGGGAGACCTCCCATCTCAAACAAAACAAAACAAAACCCAATACCAAAACAAAACAAAACAAAACTATTCAAAAGGTTGGGGGCTTCTTAGATGGAAGCTGTACAGCCCATAACTTGGCCCATTTTCTTTTGAGGCAGACGTCTTGGGGGATAGGAGAGCAAACCAGATCAGCACTTTTCCTATGTGGCATCTCCGGCCACAGACTGCAGAGCCTTCTCCAAGGTTGAGAGGCGCCTTGCTGTGCAGGCTGTTGCCGTGGAAACGGCGTTGCTCCCTGGCAGTGTTTACCAGGCCTCCCTCCTCTGGGAGAGCTGGGAGCCCGGGATGAGCCAGAACTCCCTCTAATGACTGTGTTTCATCCGCAGGGCGAACTCTGTTGGAGAAGCTGTTCAGCCAGCAGGAGAACGGGCCGCCAGAAGAAGCAGAGAAGTTTTGCTCCCGGATCATTGCCATGGGGCTTCTCCTGCCTTTTAGTGACTGCTTCAGGGAACCGTGTAATCAGAATGCCCAGTCGAGTTCAGCTCCGTTCGACGTAAGTAGGGGGATTCACTTCTGTCCGTGAGGCACATTTGCCGTCGAAACAGCAACTGCGATGTGCGTCTGCCCAGTCACCCTGTAATGGAAAAACAACGTGTGATGCGAGGCCTTCCTCCTTTCAGCCACTCAGTAGCTCAGTTTGTCTGTTTCTACACTTTTTTTCTTTTTGAACTAGAGTATTAAGTATAGTTGCCAAACCTTTTCTCAACAGATGGCTACTCAATAGTTCTCTAGCCTGCTTCAATCATTGATGATTTTAAAGGGGCTCTAAGTCAGTATTTCTGTCTTTGCTGATCGTAGGCATTCCTGCAGAAGCAGCTCCGTAGGGCAGAGTTCTTCATCCCAGCGGGGCCACAGGTTTCCACGGGCCCTGGAACGCTGTTTCAGTGTGTTCCTCACTCATGCACGTGCTAGACGGTGACGGGAAGCATTACTGTCTGCCCTCTCCGCCAGCTCCCACTCGCCAAGAGAGTTAATGCTGTGCAACAGTCGTTCAAAAGGCATGCGCATGTTTCATAATGAATATCAGCACAGCCGTGTTGTCATTTTCAAGCCAGAGTGTTGCTAATCTTTCTCAGGTATGTGGTACCTGTGTGGCATTGGTTGTGATAAGCGTGCATCTAAAACCTAGATATGCAAGAATTCTCATGTATGAAATTCTCATGAGACTATCGAAGGTCTGGTGGGTTCACTGATACAGAGCTTAGGATTTATGAGTATTTGGGGGTGATGGGTTCTCCTCTGTATGGGTTAATTGCATTTGTTCAGTTGCTGCCAAATGCACCCTCTTCTCTTGTCACCCTTCTTCACTATTATTCAAGGAGTGAGATAATGATGAGTTTTGAAAGACAATGAAAATGAACCCTGGCGGAGGTCAAGGTGTGATAGTAAATAATAAAGTATCTATATTTGCCTGTTTTTCTTCTTCCTCCTCGTTACATGTTACAACCTGCAGCCTTTCTCAATCTCTTTTCAGTATTAGGGGAACAAATCACATAAACCACTCTGAGATCTTCTTGATATTTCCCATTTGAAAGAAAATTCCCCAGGTTGTGCTGTGACTTGCGAAGCTTCCTTTCTGAGATTTAATTTTTTTTTCCTGCTATAATTTTCTTAATCACATGGCAGCTAATCATGGCTAGGTAGACCTTTTTCTCCTATGGGAAGAATTGGATTATTTAAATTTTTTCCTCCTGTCTCTTCTGTGAGAGCTCTGTGTTATTGAAGAGATAGAACCTGAGGATGACGGTAGGTTAAGTGCTGTAGAGCTGTGTTCTAGAAGATGAATCAATTTGGCAAACTGGAATTATAATACCTATGTATAGCACAGACAAAGCCCAACACTAGCCATGTCTAGCACTGGCTTTTCGATTAAAAATTATTCCCCAAATAACTGCATTTTCCTCCATTAAAACACAGAAGTAAACAGTCTTGTCAGTCTATAAATGTGGAATTGGCATAAACTGAGAACAGGGTAATCTCATTTCTCTTTTTTTAATTTTTTTTTAAAAAATCAACTAACCTGGTTTTTTTTTTATACCTCTCTCCTCGTTCCATCCTTGCATTAGAGATGAATAACTCTTCCTAGCTGTGTTATTTTGGGCAGCTGGGTGTGGCATAGAGAGTGAAAAGCAAACAACAAAAAAATAAAATCCCTTAATGTTGTGTGAAGGATTTCCTTAGAATGGGGAGTTTGTTTCCCTGAACTTGATGTGACTGCATTTTCTCCTTACTCTATTTGTTGGCTGTGTAGTTTCTCCGTACTCTCCCCCCACTGCCCCTGCCAAACTGAACAAAATGAAGAAGAAATTAAAGGTACTCTCATGAGAAATGTTATTCCATATACGTAAATCGCAGTTTAGTAACAGAACTGCATGTTGATTGGATGCATAGTCCAGGAGTTTCTTCAAAACCAAAAGGTGGTAACAATGTAACAATATAGGGGGTTATGAGGCCTGAGGTGTCACTGGGGGATGGGGAGTAATATGCTTCTCTATGGGGAGGGAAATTCCTGATAATTAGTCTCTCTGCTGATTTCCAGAAAATAGCTGTTGGGAGCTTTTCTAACCAACAATTCCCTTGAGGTCAGTTGCCCTTCGAGACAGAACACCCTGTGGGAATAAGCTCATAGCTGGCACTCTTCCTAGCCTGGACTTGGTGACTTTGTTCCCTTCCCTAAGAGCACCCTGTCTTCTCACCTCTCTCCCCTGTTCCTCCTTCTCTCTCCACTTACACGTGTAATTAGAGCAATGAAGAGTTTTGGGGCTCTTACTGATGCAGTTGATGGATTAGCCTACTTCAGTCAGCCCTTCCATTTTTTTAGTTCCATGTTATTTTTATACATTTTTAGGGCCTAACATTTTGCTTTGTAGAGTGCTATAGAAAATGTGAAAGGACTTCATATTTTTCTTTTACATTTTAACTTGATTAAGGTTTCGAGAACTTTCAAATACTCAGATGGCTTTGAGTGATCATGTTCATTCATTCACAAATGTTTACCAAATGCATTCTACTGGCCAGCTAATGTCTTAGGCTTGGAGAGATGTTAGTGAGCAAGAGAATGTGTTCTCTTGAAATGTATATCCTATTCAGGGTGAGGAGAGACAGATATAAAAAGCATAAGTTAATTAATTTCTATCAGATTCTAGTATGTGCTATGAAGCAAAAGCAGAATGATATGATAGAGTGAATGGCTTGGGGTAGGACGAAAGCAGAGGGAGCTTCTCTAGGCACCCATGTGGCCAGGTCAGAGGGAAGGTTGTTCCAGGCAGCTGAGGGGGCAAGTACACAGGGCACAGGTGTGACCTACACAGGCACAGCCCAGGGCCTTGTGTAGCTGAAGCTTAGTGAGATGAAGACAGACAGGTCTCAGGAGCCAGAACAGGCAGGATCTTAAAAGCCATGGAAGGAATATGGACTTCTTTTAAGTGGGAGCTTTTGGGAGGTTTTATGCAGGGGAGTAACATATTTGCTTTATGTTTCATGAGGATCACCCAGCTTGGTCTTTGAATAATAGAGTGCAGGGCAGGAGGAGACGCAGGAACACCAGGTATGCTATGGCAGTGGCTGAGTGAGAGACGGTGGTGAAGGAGGTGGAGAGGAGTCCGTGGGTTGGGATGGATTCTGGAGGTAGGGCTGATGGGACTTCTGGTGGGTCGGACACAGGGACAAGGGAACAAGAGGAAATCAAGGACGATGTCTGGGTTTCAAGAAGCTGGGTAGATAGTGGTGCTGTTTACTGAGCTGGAAAACACAGCTCCATTTTAGGACGATAATGTCGTAAGTACAGAACCGGTGCTCATTCTAATACTTTTCTTAAATGAAATTCAAATTACTTAGAAAATTAATAACTAGTTATTACCTGACAAACATTAGCTTTTGTCTTTGGCTGAACAGAATGACATTGACTTTACTAGCCAATCAAAATTAGGGTCATAATACTTCAAATTTTTTCAGCCATCAAAAGGACTGGCTCCTATAAGACAAGAATAAAAATTGAGCTCCTTTAAGGGCCTAACGATGTTCTCCCATCATCTCTTTCCATTTCCATGACTAATATGGGGACATAGAAACTATTAGTGTACTTCTTTTTCTCTGATAATATCCTCGTATTATTGGCTTTTTGCTTTTTCGGGAAGAGAGATGGGTTTATATGTCAAATAAAATTCTAAGCTAGACCTATTCCAAAGCTAGCAAGAGAAAACACAGGGATAATGCTTCTGCTTCTGCTTGGTAGACTATATGGTTGAGTTGTAGATCATGGGTTTTTTTGTGGTCTGAGGAAAGACGTCTTTTTTTCCTTCCGGAACCTATTCTAGTTATTTCTCTCATGCTTTTATTCATAACGAAATCCCTTTTTCTGGGTCATATTCATCAGCAGCTGTTTTCCAGCCAACCACACTTATCTTACATAATTGTTGATTATCCATTAACAAACTCTTCTAGGATTTCTTTAATCATAACTAGGGTAGATATCACATTATCCATTTATATCACCAGGAGTTAAGCAAGTTTACTTGGCCCAAGTGTTTTTTTCAGGGGTATGTGGTTATATCTTTAATCCTTCATGAATTTCTCTTACATGTCTGTCTAGTGGGATATTTTTGAATGCATGTTTTTGGCTGCTGGACTTGTTTGGGTTTGGTGGATCTGCTGGTTTTTTAAAAATATGTGGTGGTCCCCATGCTTGCCAGATGAGCAAGAGCTCCTTAGTGTGTATGTTGGTGGACATAGGTTTGGGTGAGCGTGTGAGTGAAGCCACAGTTAAAGACAAGGAAGACATGGAAATTCAGGTTAAAAAGGAATAAAAGAAACAAGATCTTGAACCTGTTGAAAGATAAGTCATTAACAAAAACCAGCAGCAGACACTCTCAGAAAACTAATGAAATGTACTCTACTCATTGTTACCATAGCCAGAAAAAAGACTTAAGTGAACAAACAGAAATGATTAGTTGTATTTGAATTCATTTTTTTTCAGAGCAGGAAGAATACTTACATGCTATTTAGTCAAGCCCCCACAAATCTTTTTCTGAGAAGCAGTAAAAAGCCTTGACACATCTTTCGGCTCTAAGAGAATATACATTCATGTACATATATCTATGTAAAGATCACTGTGTATTTATTTTTGGAATGTTTTTGTACAGTATCAACTCTCAAAAAATTGTTTTTCTTTTAAAGGTGGTATTAAAATGATAATCTTCAGACCAGCTTTTAGAATTATCTTAGTTGACATTTCCTTGAAGATATCTTTGTAATCTCAACATAGAAGTCATTGGTAAAATATAAGATTTTATTGATCAAAATTCATATTAGCCATGTTGACTTGCAGTGCTTTATGTTTGCTGATGCCATTACTGACACTGCTCTTGCCTTCTGACCATCACTCACAAGTGAGGATTTAGCTCAGTTATACACCTATGTTGTCCTTCCCCATTCCTTCCAATATAGTTAATTTTGCTATTTCTAGTTTCAATTTAATAATAATTCTTTGAACTT